TAACATTATAGAAAAATGTTTACGTTATTAAGCAGTTGATTTATAATGATATCAGTTCAACGAAAGTTCGGTAAGTTTATTTATTATACATGTATATATATACATATGTGAATTTATTTATTTATTTAGTATATAAAATTTTTTTTACATTATTCAAATAATAATATCATAGATTATTTGTCAAGCGTGGAATGTCAATTAAATATTTGCTTCCTAATTCTGTGATCAAACATATTCAAGCTAATGATCTCTACAAATAATAGTATATGCAACCTACAAATATATATGCACATACAATTAGATAATTCATTATTTACTACTCTACCTTGTTCTTTCTCATATTTTTTATTACATTCTAAAAATGTTAAATTTGGCTTTATCTATCTTATTAATAATTAAATCAAATAAATCAAATAATTAATATATCTGATATATTATTTTTTAAAATCCGACGCGTAATCAATAATTGTTGTTCCCGCTCACTATAAAAGGAAATATTTTTTTTTAATGATGATGATGATGATGATGATGATGATGTTGATGATGATGGTAACGTTACTAGTCAAGAATTTTACTATAAATGATAATAATGACGATAACACTTGAGAAGAAACTGTTTCAGAAAGAAAATTTTTAAATAATATTCGTGACTACATCAATTACAGCGACTACAGTTCATAGAACACGCTTTCAAGACTGGAAACTTGGAGTTAGAGTTCCTGTATCTCTGATTCATGGGCAAAATAGCACCATCCTGCTATGAGATGGTTTTCTTGCAATGTTCTAACTCTTTTATGAGAATGCGGATTTTTCCTCATTCTTTTGGTTTATAGCAACCTTAGCGTTGAGTTCCTCTCTGAGCTCGTGATTAATATTAAGTAGCAATGCATATGCGAAATCCATACTGATACCAGAAAATTCGGTCTCGCTTTATAGTATCAATCATAACATTCCACAATTACAGCAATGAGCTCATCTCGAACGATGATGAGGAATTGGCCTTCATGTGTAAAACTTTATATTATCAAAAAGCTGAACTATATTCCAATGCCGAAAGGGTTAGCGAAGGCCTGTAAAAAGCGAGAATGCACCTTTAAACTTTCCGGGATCAAAAAATGGCTAAATAATCAAGCTTTGTATCAGATATTTTCTCCCGCTCTGGTTACCTCCACAAAGTGTTCTAGAAACCGCAACTATGAGTTTTCCAACATCAATTCTCAGAGATATTTTGAGCTAAATTTTCATTGGCTTAATTAATATAAATTATTTTTTACTTGTCAAGCGGAAATTAATATACTATTAAAATTTTACAACAAATGTTGTTGATATGATTCATTAAAATTTCTTTTTAAGTAATGAACAATTCTTTATGTCTGCTCATTACAAATCAACCGCTATATTATCTTTTAATAAACTGT